GTTTCTTTTGATTTTCTTCAAGCAGACAGTAACCAACGTAAGGCGTCCGTTTGGTTATTTTGGATTTATAACTACAAAGTCACGCAAGGTCAGAATAGGAACGTTGAATCTGATAACTCGTGTTTAGAGAGTGTCTTGTACTCTTCACGAAAAGAACCATTGAAACAACAATTTGAGGGGTAAATAGGTGGCCTCATGTAAGTTTAAATGTCTGTCCCTATCCAATATACCCTCATTTGGCAGTCATCCCGATCGACCCAAATAACAGGACCTATGTCTTGTTTTTATTGTTAGTTTGTTCTCATCCTTAACATGCCCGATATATTTGCCACTAGATGTAAAGGAAACATCAATCAATCAATCTCAATCGAGGATAACATGAAACAATCCAATCATACATTAGTATATGACAGTTGAAATCATACTACTGTTGAACACAAAATAGTCCACCCTAACTAGAAATTTGACATACTGATATGCAAACCAGGCAACAGTAGTTTATTGATGTTCAAATATAGTTAATCAATTTTAAAAACACCGACCACAAAATCTAAATTTCTTTACGGTGTAACATCGGCTTATCATACACCATTTGTCATATGAATCAAGACTCATTAAAATGTGACGATAGGAGACAACCACAATGGGTCAGTTTTAAAACAAACCAATCCGATGCCATATCGCATATAAGAGACACATTGGAATAAAAAGTATTATTCACCGAGTACATGCAATACCATAGTTTTACATTAGATACCATATTTAGATGCATATTAATTACAAGTTGAACAATTTAAGTCTTTATTGTCATATATAAGTATACACTATTAATACGCCACCCCGAGGTGTTGACCGTTATGAAATATCTGTTTCACAAACAACGACTGGTTTCTACGTACATGAGCAACACGGCGGATGCCTAATGTGAAGCAAGATATGCTTACTCGTCTGGAGCACCTGCGATCAACCACGGTTTTTGGTGGAGCTCGTGTTGCTCAGTTATTAGTTTGATATGATGTGTTTTGTATACTGTTTTTTTCGATTTTTGTAATGGCGTTGCCAGTTTGTTTTTGATTTATGAGTTTTGATGTCCCTGTGGTATCTATTGCCTGTCTCTTTTTTTCTTCTAATACTTGTGACAAATAAAAGTCACAAACAACAACACAATTGTTTTACACAAATGTATATAGCTAATAGTCCTCTGGTCTAAGCTTCAAAAGCTACATTTATTTTATAAAAGAACCTGATTTTAAAGTAAATTTCATCTTCATTGGTTTTACAAGTTAGACACATTCGCTGATTTCGAGGTAAATTGGGATATCTTTCTCTTTTCTATAAATAGTCATCACGGATACTATTAGTTATGGTAGATAATTTTTATTTTTAAAAAAACCGTCTAGTTTTAAAAGGTTAAATTCCGGTCAAAATGGGGACGTTAAATCCGACGTCTCGTGTGGAGAGAGTGCCACGCATTTTTGCACTGTAAGAACCATAGTAACAACACTTTGAATGTTCTGTAGTTGGTCTGTTGCAAGGCAAAAATTCTGTCAATATCCAATATATCCACATTTTCCATTGGCAGTCCAAATTTCCTCGACCTTTATCCCGGACGGCCTCTATTACAGGACCTACCTGCATGCATTGTAATCATTGTAAATTTATTCTCGTCCTGAACATGCACGAAATATTTATCACTGGACGTTAAGCAACCACCAACCAATAATCAATCAATCTTAATGATGATTTCTGAGACAATATTCTTTATTACTTTTATAAAAAATGAAAATTTGTTTTCATTTGAACTGTTTATTCTATTTTCTTGCAATTCTGAATAAAGTTTCTTAAATATTTATCATCGAAATCTTGTTGTTTTCACTTCACTTACATATCTCAAATAGTTATCAGATTTTATTCATCTTATGCTTATAACAAATATACCAGACGTTCCATGATTTCGATGTTACAAATTTTTTGTAGGATTTTATTCAATGGAAAATATATTGTCTTTTAGCTAAGGGATCGAATAGTTAGTACTGATCATAACGGTAGATGTTTCGTTTATCATACGTGCAGTATTATACTAGGTTCGTTGCACTGAAAGGTAATTTCTACATTAAACCTTTGACAGAAACGATCGATTGAACAATACTCAAAGGGAAAATGAGAAAGGTGAACAAGTGACCTAATCGTGACCTTTTTTCAACATTAATATCAAAGTGTCTGGCCTTTTGTTTTACAGTCATCTTCTATGATATTTCGGTAATTGTCTTGGTCAAGTAATTTTGACATGGATGACATTGTAGTCGGCAATTTCAATTCGTCTTGACTTATACTTTCGTTGTTTTTACGCGCAACATTTTGGGTTTGCGTACTGTTACCATTCATTACAACGTTAAACGAACTTGACCTTACAGCTGTTATGTTTATTTCAGCAGAAATTTCATACTGGTGTGATTTTCTTTTCATTTCTTTTTCTAATTGCTGATACATGTGCATATATCCCTCTATATCGGAATTCCGAAGAGACGAAGACGAAGATGACGAATTACTTACATCAGTGCATGTAACACCTTTTTCGTAATCATGTTTTACGGATTTCCGTTTTTCTAGCAATGAGTTATACGGATGGAGGTATCCATCTTCTGTATTATCGTGGAAGTTTGATTCCCCTTCATAATCATGGGAATTTGTTTTTTCTACTAATGAATGATACGGATGTAGATACTCGTTAGTGTCTTTAATTTTATCTTCGATGTCTGATGATTCACTAACAGACGAACTTAAAACGTCCAAGTAAACGTTTGGTTTGTTCGGTTTGTCACATGATTCCATCATCTGACTTTCGTCAATCACGTGATACATATATAAGTCTTCTTCCATTTCGGTATCCTCATCATTTGGTTTGTCATTCAAAGTAACGTTCACTGGATTTGTTGTTACATGTAACTTTTTCTTCATTGCATTAAGTTTATGTTTATAGCACAGGACCATAACAAGTATGAAACATGCTGCTGACAGACAGTAGATAATTAGGTTCGTTGTTGAAAAAGGGCCTATAAAAAACAAGTAAAGAATTAATATAAAGTGTTAAAATTTTAAACATTGCAAGACGTTTTTGTCGTACTGCTGCAATTACTATGATACTAGTCATATATTTCAAACTTTATATTTTTTTTTGACGCGTAAAAATTAAAGACAGAATAAAAAAAAAATAATTAAAAAAAACATTTAAATTTTGTATGTGTATTAATTGATATGTCAGTCTTAGATACATTTTTTAACAAGTTGTTTACGGCTTTAAACTAGCGGTCAGTAACTGTGAGTACTCTCAGATCTGTACTTGGTGTTTTTGTGTTGTTTAGGGGATGTATTAATTCCCTGCCACGCCCGGTCTGTGATTTTGTAAGCTGTTTTTTCTGTTTTGTATCGATCTGATGAGTTTAGCCCTTTTCGATTGATTTTATTTTTTTTGGTTTTTATGTTGTACTGTTACACCACTGTCGGAAGTAAGGCGAGTATCTGGCGCGTCAGCAAACATGAATAACCCCGCCACATTCTGTATGTGCCTATCCCAAATCAGGAAGAACCTGTTATTCAGTGTCTGTCGTTTATTGCTGTGTTCTATATTTGGTTTTCGTTCATTGTTTTGTATATAAATAAGGCCGTTAGTTTTGTAGTTTGAATTGTTTTACGAATGTCCTTTCGAGACTGTTCATAACTGACTTTTAGGTATGGGTTTTGTTCATCGTAGAAGGTCGTACGTTTACCTATAGTTGTTAATTTCTATGTCATTTTGGTCCTTAGCGGAGAGTTGTCTAATTGGCAATCATACCACATCTTTTTTCTTTTTAAAACAAATTAATTCGGTTAAGATAGTTGAAAAATATTGTATATTTTTACTTGCGTTTCGTATAGAAATTTAATAGTACCAAAGAGTGACGGAACTTAAAAGTTTTTACATTAGAATTTGTCGGAATAAAAAGTGGTATGTTGTTAAATGTGTTTTACGAATTAATAAACAATATAGAAAGGTCGACATTTCACTTTTATTTAACACGAATTGATCATAAAGTTCGAATCATAAAGTCAAATTTTGACAAGCATTTTGCACAAACCACATACCTGTTTGATTGATATGATTATTTTGAACGAATTTTGTTACTGTGTCATCAGAAACTTTGTCTACAATAAAAAGAATGACAAAACATATATATCGTCAATTGATGTTAAAAATGAACGAAAAATCATGTAATACATTTAAATAATAAAACCAAACAAAAATAACTTAGCAATTTTGTATATTGATAGAGTATTTTGGGAAAAAAGTAAAATAAAATGAATCAAAGCAGTGATAAATGAGTAAGTACATTTTTTTTTGTCAAACAAAATCAGTCATTTCATAAGAAAGAATATGTGTTAAAGAAATTAAACGGTAATTCTTTTCAACAATTTGTTTGACAATTATCCATTAATGATTCACACAACAGGTAACAATCCTTCAGTATGCAGTTAAGGTTAAGGTTTTTAAAATTAAACATTAAAACTTATACAATGTATTCATTTACATGTAATTGTTGTTTCAATATAGTTTTTATCCTGCTGTAGGTATTGAGATTAATAATTCATATTTAAAAACATTAATGAAAAAAAAGTAATTAAAGCACTTTTCCTTCTTTTTTATGTGCATCTGTAATTTGTTGACTCTGTTTATATATGCATCTACCTCTGTCATATTTCTTATTTTAAGATTTACAATAGTATCTCTACTGTAAAATCAATTGTAAATTGACAGTATATTTGAGAAAAGAAGTGAGATGGAATGAATATTTTTTAAAGAAAAACATCTGAAAGATCGCTATACAGTAAAATTTGATAGAATATAGCTATTTGGATGATATTATCTAATTAGGAACGAAACTAACATATTAAAAGATAACTCAGTATCGATTGATTTTTAGAGAAAACACATGTATGTAATGTATCTTACCTGTGACTTCCCTTTTCCTGTTAATAGTAGTTCCACTCGTACTTTTTATGTTGATTTCATCTATCAAAAGAAATAAAAAAAAAAATGATTTAAACCTGTTGTCACACAATCGACATCAAAAGCAAGTTACCCTCTTATAAGTGGTGGATGGATGTATTTTCAAAATATGTACAACAATTCTGAATATTTTTGTGAATTATTCTGTTGATGTGCCATGCTGATAAACAGGGAATTGAACGAGCGATGACATTTCCTGGGTTAGTATTTATATATATAGCTGTAGGTGATTATTGTATTTTTACGCTACAATAAAATAAAATAATTTACACCAATATGTCGGTAAATGAAATTGAATACCCTACAGTTATCATGCTTTTCAATAACATATGATCAAATGAAATACCCCCTCCTAAATTATCAAAAACCATCATCCTGTATTGACAATGATATCTTGGTTTTAATTAAATACACCCATTGGGGCTAACATCCTCATGGTGTATCTAATACGTACACAGAGAACGACACATGAAGTTATTCCAATCCAGACAGGCTAATTGATATATGATTAAAATCAAACCATAATCAGATAAATTGATAACCAAAAATTTATTATTTACTACATTGCAAGCGTCAACATGTGGTGTAAAAATTAAATACTCACACATAAAAATAAAACAAATAAAATGAAATTCGGCATTACTGGCTACATGATTATATATATAACTGATATGTATTAAAAAAATTATATTAATCAAAATAAGAATCGGAAACAAAAACAAAAACATCGAATTCAAATTGTTAATGTATCTCAACAATTGCTGTAGACGACAGAGTGTAGATGTAGTGCCGTCACCACAAATAACTTTTACCGTGTTCGTTAAATAACAGTAAAGGCAAAAGGTACGAGTCATTTTAGCACGAACACCAACAGAAACATTTATAACTCGAAGAGTAAAAAATGTAACTCCCATGATGTGAATTTAATAGCAAAGCAAGAGCTCGAATCATAACGGGGAGCAATGCTTTACTTCGAAATACTTCTCTATTGATGACATGTGGATCGCTGCCCCTTCAGGATCATAAACCATTACATTACGTAAAATAAAAACTTACCTGAGGTGGTATCTGTAGAAACATACGGACTTAGTGTGGTGCTTTGTTCTTCGGAAGTACAGGAGCCATTAACATGGTTACATCTACGAAATATCATTGATTTAAGAATGAAGACCTGCTTTAAGGGATCTATCTTTCAGTATTTTGGGTCCTCATTTCTCTTTAACTTCGTACTTTATATGGCAGTTTTGCATTTTTTATTTGGGCGTTACTGATGAGTCTTTTGTAGACAAACTACGCGTCTGGCATACAAATTTTAGTTCTGGTATCTATGATGAGTTTATCTAAACGAACGTTTGCAGCTTCCATTTGTACAATTGATAGACTCATCATGCACACAAGTCTTCAAATTTAGAACGCCTGACGAGCGTTTTGCCTACAAAAGACTAATCAGTGACGCTTGAATTAAACAAGTTAACCGGTCAAATTAAATACGAAGTTGAAAGGCATTGAGGACACAAATTTCCGAAATGTTTTGCAAAAACAGATACGATAATCTACTCCTGTGGTAGACACTCCTATAAGTACTTCGAAATCTCTTTGTTAACAGTTAATTTATAACTATGACCATATCAATGATTCTTCATGTCGACACAGAAGTGATGACTACTAAGTAACACATAATAATTTTATAACTGCTTAAAAGAGATTGTTAAACTGCGTCTATTATAAACACATTACTGTGTAAAAGGGCATTTCCCTTTAACTTGATCTACACCCTTAATGACAAAAGGATACGATTTCAGCGTAAATTATTACAACACATGAGTAGAAAGAAGTGAAATACGACTTATTTAGTACATATGGGTGTATATAAAAACAAGAAGATGTGATATGATTGCCATTGAGAGACCAAATGACGTAGAAGTAAGCAAATTCATGTAAAATTAGCAAAACCAACTCTTTTCTAAATACGTTATCGATTCAATTTTGGTTAAATTACCCTATGATTATCTGGTTTCATAACATCCCATTTGGAGAAATGTCAGTTTATTCGCCAAATAAATAAATAGATAAATATAAATTTCATGAGTCAGAAGCGCTTTTAAGATGGTTTTTATGTAAATACATGTAGTTTTAAAAAAATAAAGATGCACCAATTTTAATCAATTTTAACACAATTAGTAGAAACTCTATGATGTTCAAGAAGATGACACCGCGAGATAATAATTTACCTTGGGCTTTATGAACAAACATGTAAGACGTTAAGAACTCAAACAATACTTTATTCATATCAAATCTCCTACTTTTATATTGTGTTAACCTTATGCCAGTCCACTTTCTGTACTTTTTATCCATTTTTAAGTGACATGTTAACGGTTTCCAATTGATTGATTCTAATGAATGTGTAAGAACGTGTGATAATTATATAACATATTGGCCGATTACTTTGAGCTTGCTAGTGAATTCAAAATCATCAATTGTTTATAAAACATATGCACTTGTATTTTACATTGTCGACCAAGGCTGCCTTGTTGTAAACACTACACATCGGTAAAAGTCTGAAATGGGCCGTATTTGTAATCAACTATACTGATTATTACTCGACCATTCTGCATTGCTGCCGTTTTTAATCGTAATTACTGGACCCCAGTCTTAACTTGTACTATATCTGTACTCGACCAGTTCGTAACTTTTGTAAAGAGTCTGAACCATTCTTAACCAAATCTGAACCATACTCAACCAAGTCTGATCCATAATCGACCAAGTCTAAATCATACTCGATCAAGTCTGAACCATACTAAGCCAAGTCTGAACCATAATCGACCAAGTCTTAACAATCCTCGACATATTCTTAATCGATCTGTCATATTTTCTATAAAGATGTATGTCTAGAAATTTGACCAAGTATAGGTCTAAAACTGGTTATGTACAGGTCGAGTATAATAGAAAAAGAAAGGATCTAAGATATTCATCCATAACCCAAAATCATTACATGCAGAGTAAACTGTTTCAGCCTAGTCGAGTATGAGTTCAGACATTTCAGTATGGTCAAAATTAGGTTTGAGTACAAGTTTAGACAATTTAGTATGGTTCAGATAACAGTCTTATAATTTCGAGTAAAATTCAGAATGGTCGCGTTTAAATCAGTACAGTCGAGTATAATAAGTGCCCATACCAGACTTTTACTGGTTTGTAGTTAACATGGTTAAAGCCAACGTTTTTTGCAAATTGATTTATTTTTCTCGGATAATCAAATAGTATCATGCAAATAAGAAAACTTTATACTTCTTCTCACATATTACATCAGCCTAATATTATAAATTTTACTCTTATGTTTCGTGTGTTTGTATTTCTGTCTTCTGAAATAGTGAAGTTCTTCTGTTTACTGTTTGACGTTTCACTACCGACATTAAATATAATGATAGTTTGAACTAAAAAAACACATTAATCTGCCTCTTGTTGTTCTGCCAGTCACAAGCGAAAGTCTAGAATCTAGTCAATATTTTCTCTTATTTATATCACAGTTTTGTTTCCCTAAAAGATTTAAGAATAGAACACCAACTGTGATAAACTCAATTCAACTGATTTACAATTTTTCAAAACTTTGGGCGATATGTATATAAATAAGAAAAGCTTAAACTTTGCATGAATACCTGTTTCATATATACCGTGAATTATGTCGACTTTTTTGTTTGATTTGTAGTGCTGTATTGATGGTTATCACACATATCCTTTATTCATATTACCTTTCAGTTTCGGAACAATTACAGATGCTTGTACATTTATTGCCGTAATTACGAGGACCACACGGTTCACAAGGAACTCCATTTTCCTCTGTATTATATCCTATTTGGCATTCTGTAATATAATATTAACTTTAACATATTTAAGGTAGCACAATACAAAAACAACTAGATATTATCAAAATTTCATTTTCACCTGTTTTTGTTACTTCTTGATATTCCAAAACCACAGAAGAAAAATATATGTCCATATCTTGCACTGTAAATGAGTTTTGATGATAAAAAGATTTATAAACAAATGCACGTGTCTGACTGATACAAGATAAGAACATGTTGGCAGTACTTTGTGGTTAAACAATAGAATCATTTGAAAGCTTCATGACCACTGACCATCAATAGAAATAGCAGTTATGATAGAAGAGGTAGACTAGGGGTTTATAGAAAAAAGAAGATAATGAATTCCAAATAAAAATACATTTCTATATTGGGGCTGCTAGTAGAAAAAAAACCCAACTATTTGGAGATACAGAGGGAATCAAAATATAAATGTACAGATATTAAACAAAAATAATTGTACAACAATTAATGTTGCTAATGTTAATGCTGATGGTAATATTAGAATTTTTTGAGGAGAATGTTTGAATATGATTTTTTTTTTAAAGAAAACACAAATTAAATACTTTATTTTCGAACTACAAAAGTGAGAAAATTTTACTTTATGTAAAACACCATATTGTCATTGTATACAATTGTAATTAAAAAAAATCCCCAGAAGAATCCTCTGGACTGACCAACTGATCATTTTGTGTGCACATGCATAACTTACTGTTTGTGAAATGTTAAACACAAAATATATCGTTTTATGTACTAAATGAAAAAAAATCAATATTGAAAAAGTAAATACAATGTGTAATTACACTTCTGAGATCATTCATAGTTGAAGTTTATCCATATCAGAAGCAACTGACTAACAGCAAGGTAAATAATGATATAACTTCTCCTGCCAGATCTGATTTTGAATGCATAGAGTGTGCAATTTCTTTATATATTTAGAATTGCTAAAATAGAATGCTTTCTTACTGGTCAAAACCTAACTGATTTATGATTACAGGCCAATCCTGAAGTATCCCCACGATACATGTGTGAATTATATTAAAGTTAATGAGGTACAAGTAGTAAAAATCCTTGTTTATTCAATTGTGACACATTCATTTTTGTCATGAAAATGTAGTTTTCAATTAAATTAGCTCCTAGATGGGTGTTTCTATATGCCTGATTTTAGCACATGTTGTTTCTTGACCTGTTATCCTCAAAACTGTGTCTCAGATTTTAAAAAAACATGAATAAAACAAATTTTATATTCAATTGAATTTAGTGATTTCTTATGATTTGAGGTTGCAAAATTCATTGAAGGTTTATGAGAGAATGAAATAGAATAGGAAAAATCTGAGACACAGTTTTAGAGGTCAAACTGTGTTGCACAAGAATCTATAAAAAAATTTGGGGATGCTATGAATAACAAAGAAGCTAAATTCATTCAACCTACAATCTAGCAACTTATTACATAATAATTAATTATGTAATAACTATGTAAGAATTAAATTATCACCATTTGAAAGATTAATCTTTCTTCTTTAACTTGGTTTCTCATTTATAAAATTTGAAGCTAGATGAAAGAAATTACATCAGTTGAAAGTGGTCTGATTGAAAGTGAAAAAATCTTTGTATTGTGCTACCTTAACTTAATCAAAACACTTAACTTGATATGTAACGATATCGCCGTTAACAGCCAAACAGTACATTGATGAAAAGGAAACAATCAGACCTTATATAACAAGATTTACATTCTGTTCTGTACCTTAAAGAATTATATGCACATGAGATCTTCTCCAGTTTTTGTAAGTATTCGTATTGCTTGTCTTTACTAATTATGTAGTTTTATGAACACTCTAAAAATGTGTTTAGGGCCTAAACATAAATCTATACATGTTACTTGTAATGCATTTGTAAACAAAACACGTTCTTATGCTAAATATGTTCTTCTTCTCAACATGTTGAGGAAAGCGTTTAAAGCTTAAACATGTTTCACCCTCTATGTGTTTAACCTGACAACATGTTGAAGATACACATGTTTTGGTCCTAATCCTTATCAACAGAAAATGAAAGATTTTCAGTAAGTCACATCATAACTTAGATTGGGCTAAATACTCATTAAAAACTGAATAGAAAATGAACTAAGTGGCCCTTAAAACATAATAAATCATCTTATGGTGACTAAGGCTGCAAATATTATAGTGAATAAAATCATGCATTTGCCTTTGTTGTAGCGATTTAAAAAATTTGCTGTTAGGCATAGTAGTTCTCCCCATTCAATGAATGGTACACAGTTATTTGTAATTGTCTTTCCAATTCTACATGTAAAAAAAAGTGGTAGTGACCTTTACATAGCCCTCTATAAATTTGTTCATTGTTGAAGGCAATACACAAACCCTTTAATAAAGAATTAAAGCAATGAGGGAATATGTTCAACATTTGTTCTTCTAATTTGTATACATTCGTGTATATTAACAACACATATTTCCCTATTCAAGCATAGTGTCAATGATTGCTCAAAAAATAAACAATAAATTAAAATATTGTTTGAAAAATTTATCACAATCCAGTTATATCTGCAAATTTCTACAACTGGTATAAAATAAGGAGATACGGTATAATTGCGAATGAGACAACTATTCAGCAAAGACTAAAAGAGGAAGATGTAAATAACTTATCCAACGTTGAAATCATTTTACAATGTGGAGACAGTAAATTATTAAAGAACTAATTTAGATAAAAAAAAACAACATTTAACTAACTAGTGCGTTTTAGAAAATTTTTAATTTGAAGTTTCCTTTAAATCAGATATACAATTTGCTTACACCAAATTGAATCCTTTTGGGATGACGTAGGCAACATTTGACTATGAATGATTTTTGATTCAAGGTTTTAAATATTTTTCAGAGAAATGTGAACCTTTATCTCAATCAGAAATGTGTTGAATACATAATTAGTTGTAAACATGTATACAAGTGGCTGCTTCACTAACAGATTAATGTGATAGCCTTCTTTCAACATGTATACAAGTGGCTGCTTCCCTAACAGATTAATATGCTAGCCTTCGTATAACATAAATACAAGTGGCTGCTTCACAAACAGATTAATGTGCTAGCCTTCTTACAACATGTATACAAGTGGCTGCTTCACTAACAGATTAATGTGCTAGCCTTCTTATAACATAAATACAAGTGGCTGCTTCACTAACAGATTAATGTGCTAGCCTTCTTACAACATGTATACAAGTGGCTGCTTCACTAACAGATTAATGTGTATGCCTTCTTAAAACATGTTTACAAGTGGCTGCTTCACTAACATATTAATGTGCTAGCCTTCTTATAACATATATACAAGTGACTGCTTCACTAACAGATTAATGTGCTAGCCTTCTTACAACATGTATACAAGTGGCTGCTTCACTAAAATATTTATGTGTCAGCCTTCTTAAAACATGTTAACAAGTGGCTGCTTCGCTAACATGTTAATGTGCTAGGCTTTTTACAACATGCATACAAGTGGCTGCTTCACTAACAGATTAATGTGCTAGCCTTCTTATAACATATATACCAGTGGCTGCTTCACTAACAGATTAATGTGCTAGCCTTCTTACAACATGAATACAATTGGCTGCTTCACTAACAGATTAATGTGTCAGCCTTCTTAAAACATGTTAACAAGTGGATGCTTCACTAACATATTAATGTTCTAGCCTTCTTACAACATACATACAAGTGGCTGCTCACTAACAGATTAATGTACTAGCCTTTTTATAACATTAATACAAGTGGCTGCTTCACTAACAGATTAATGTGCTAGCCTTCTTACAACATGTATACAAGTGGCTGCTTCACTAACAGATTAATGTGCTAGCCTTCTTATAACATAAATACAAGTGGCTGCTTCACTAACAGATTAATGTGCTAGCCTTCTTACAACATGTATACAAGTGGCTGCTTCACTAACAGATTAATGTGTATGCCTTCTTAAAACATGTTTACAAGTGGCTGCTTCACTAACATATTAATGTGCTAGCCTTCTTATAACATATATACAAGTGACTGCTTCACTAACAGATTAATGTGCTAGCCTTCTTACAACATGTATACAAGTGGCTGCTTCACTAAAATATTTATGTGTCAGCCTTCTTAAAACATGTTAACAAGTGGCTGCTTCGCTAACATGTTAATGTGCTAGGCTTTTTACAACATGCATACAAGTGGCTGCTTCACTAACAGATTAATGTGCTAGCCTTCTTATAACATATATACCAGTGGCTGCTTCACTAACAGATTAATGTGCTAGCCTTCTTACAACATGAATACAATTGGCTGCTTCACTAACAGATTAATGTGTCAGCCTTCTTAAAACATGTTAACAAGTGGATGCTTCACTAACATATTAATGTTCTAGCCTTCTTACAACATACATACAAGTGGCTGCTCACTAACAGATTAATGTACTAGCCTTTTTATAACATTAATACAAGTGGCTGCTTCACTAACAGATTAATGTGCTAGCCTTCTTAAAAAATGTATACAAGTGGCTGCTTCACTAACATATTAATGTGCTAGCATTCTTATAACATGTCTACAACTGACTGCTTCACTAACAGATTAATATGTAAGCCTTCTTAAAACATGCTCACAAAAAAGTATGGTAAAACTGAGTCACATCTATTTAAATTTCTTTTAACTTAAGAATGATAATTATCATGATATTCTATCAGGCTATTAGTAGTTTGTTTTCATAATTTTGGAGAATTTTCGTTTGTGCTCGTGTGGAATTTGTTATACTATCTTCTCATACATATAGTTGTATAAATTGCAACAGATGATACTATTTGGGGTCCAATACACAGTAATAATATAAGAGTTTTGTAAGTGAAGTCTTTGCTTCCTTTCCTAGGCAACATTTATCCTCAACCAACAACAAAACAGTTATGCATGGAGTTGTCTTTATTCTCAATTGCTATGCAAGCCTTTGCATGTGCTTCAATTATTCAGGAGCTGAAAACCATGTCTGTT